GGTCAGCAGTTCAAACGCTAACAGTTTCCAGAGCGATTTGGACGATTACGTTGGCGAGGTTGAACGAGCTGAGCGTAATGTCCTTGGGCAAAAATCTCGAGAGCTGGTCCGGAACAAATGTCGGTTGTTGCGCTGGGCTGTTCCCGAATGCAAAAATGTGTAACCTTATCATGAAGCAGTGAGAGTGAATAGCACGGTGCGTTCTGCAAAACCTCCCCCTGCATAATTAAGATTGAAGAAACGAACGTGAAGGAGGTCAGCCCACAGCGGCGGCGGCCATCTGCAAGGAATTTAAATAGCATTCGCCACAATCGCTTTATGAAATTTATATAGCGCCGTATTATTGTAAAATGACTTGGTAATAAAATGGGCCTAAAATATGTATAGAATAATGTATTAAATTTATAGTGTGTGCTTCAAGGGGATTTTTGCCAAGTAAGAAATATTGGATTATGTTGCAAAATCTGAAGCGAAAATATTTTATGGTAAGGAATTTAGGAAGACAAAAATATGCAAAATATCTATAAATACCATCATAGCATGACGCCACTGAAGAGACGGTGACAGGGAGGAGGTGCTGGTTTACAAAAGTTTTATTGAAAGCTGATGACAAGGGACCAAGCTCCAGCTGTGTCCAACTCTCATTCAAACCCATGGAAATCTGCAAGATTCTCTCAAAATGTGTTCAGTTTATCCACCAGAATAATTCAAAGTGAGTCATTTAAAAGGGTTTATAACTTGACTTAATATGAATGAAAATACAGCAAAAAGTTTGTTGAAAGGCTAATGTTGTAGACTAAATACTAACTACTGCAAGTAAACTGTGGGTTTCTATAGTAACTAGCACTTTATCTTCTCTAGTGGTATTCTGTAAACCAGACCCAGTCCAGAACAGGTCAAGGGCCAGTCCAGAACCAGTCCAGGGCTAGTCCATGGCCGGTCCGAGGTCAGCTTTAGGCCAGTCAAGGGCCAGTTCAAGGTCAGTCCAGGGCTATTCCAAGGCCAGTCCAGGGCCAGTCCAAGACCAGCCCAGAACCAGTACAGGACCACTCCAAGGCCTGCCCAGAACCAGTACATAAGCAGTCCAAAGCCAGTCAAGGGCCAGTCCAGAACCAGTCCAGGGCCAGTCTAGAAACAAAATAATACCTTAGAGATAAACTACATTAAGAAACAGAAACAGTCACAAAGTTACTATAGACCAAAAAGGAAAAAAATCTGAGCAATTACGCTTCCAAAACTAAAATCTGTCAATCTGGATTCTCTGCGAGGTCTGGTGTTGGAAGAAACAAAGCTTTCTCTTAACGTGGATCTGGTTTCTTCAATCTTTAATCCTACATTCTATCCTTAACATGGGCTGCACAATATTCTTCAATGAACGGGTCACATCAGGACGGAAGAGACTAGCATAGCCTCACACAATACCTTACAGTGCAGCCCTGATTCAGAGACTGGCCTGACAGAGGTCACACACCACTGGCTCATTACCAAAAAGAGGAGACCGCCCTGCAGGAAACCATGTCTTGAAATCATCTTACCACATTCCTTCTAGATTTGCCTTCAGGAAATACTTACAATAGCTGCGTTTCCATTGAATAATGCGCAAAAACTTTTTCGATACATTTCAAAATTCGAAAAACCTGTAATTCGCAAAAGCGGCCGTTTCCATTAAGACATATTTGAATAAGTATACACTATTTTCGCGCGTTTATTCACTAGTTTCTAGTACGTCAACATGGCAACAGAAGTAAACAACACTTTTATTTACGTGAGATATATTAATGTCTTGACTTCTGCTGCGGCTCTCATCCTCTCTGACCTCTGACCCCGGAAGAAACTGTGGCTGCTTTGACAGCTCCGCGAACGCGCGTGGTCATGTACCGAGCGCGGACCATAGACGCGCGCACAGAACCATAGACACGGGTCTTGCCTGTCTCCCCCGTCTCTCCCCCGTCTCTTCCCCATCCCTCCCCCGTCTCTCCCCCATGCCTCTCCCCCGTCTCTCCCCCATGCCTCTCCCCCGTCTCTCCCCCGTCTCTCCCCCATGCCTCTCCCCCGTCTCTCCCCCATGCCTCTCCCCCGTCTCTTCCCCGTCTCTCCCCCATGCCTCTCCCACGTATCTCCCAAGTCTCCACACGAAGCGCAGCCAAAATTCACTGAATAAAGCTCAGCTCGGCTTCCTCCGCTATATCGAAATAAGTGTTTCCATTGCCGTTTTGCGAAAAACTTAATTTCGATACGTCCAAAAAACCACCTATTTTAAGCGCATTAACTTTTTATCAAAAAACTGTGGTTTATTCGAAATTTGCGCGTTTCCATTAGACATTTTATGATGCGCAAATTCAAATTTCGAAATTTGATGCTCGATGGAAACGCAGCTAGTGTAAAGCATTGGCAATTCTCCTCTCTCTTAAAGCACGGCACTAATTTTATCCACTACACAAAGCGTTCTAATGTTGTATTTGCCTGTGTGCGTGTGATGTGAGACAGTGGACCAGTGCGGGCCTCAGAATGTGCCGTTGTAGCGGACTCGCCTCGCTCCTGAACCGTGACTAAACGCCCACATTGTGTTCACTCAGCACCGGGCTTAGACACTCTTCGCTTGCTGCACGGCTCGGCTCAGTCTGTGCCAGAGGCTTTGTCTCTGTGCGACGGCTTCAACAGAGAACATCCGCAAGAAAAGACTGCAGACAGAAGATGTGGCGAGAGGTGTGCAGGTAGAGAAGAAGAAATGCAGAGTTGGAGAAATAGTGGTTCTAGACATTTCACATGGATTGTGTTTGGATTGTGTGTGTGTTTGTGACTTTGGGCTTCCAGCACGCCTCCTGTTCATGTGTCGATGTAATTAGCTTAACTCTGGGTTATAATAACAAATCAGACATTACCACACCATCGTATTCATTTCATTTTCTACAACGGTCTGGATTTGCTCCATTGAGGTCTGTTAACAGGTGGGGGGGGTTAACTCCTTTTGCAGATTGAAATGATTGGATCTGAGTTTACCGTGACATATATAATGCGCTCGATTTAGCCCTAGCTTTAGCATTTAGGCAAGCTTTAACCAACTCCTTTGCCACAACAACCATGGCATTTGCTAAACATTCTTGATATTTGGATTGAACCTGAACAGATTATTTTTCTATCGCATTCTCCGCCAAACTACAACCAGCAAACTTGGTTCAAACTCTCGACGTCACCGACAAGTATGCTGCCGTAATTACAGTAGATCCCATTTCGTTTTGTCGCCTTTCACGCGTGAATAGCACGAGACTCACGTGTGAAACACGCGTCTTTTATTTTTTTTTCCCCCAGTGATGCTGCAATGACCCAAAAAACCACCAGGTGGCACTTGTGAGCAGTGCCACCTTGAGCTTTATGACACCCAGTCATAAAGCTCAAGTCTTTGGCGCAGGAGGACCTGGGTTCGAGTACAAGTTAAAGACTTTTGATACAACTCCACAATCAGCACCAAGTTATGAAGATAAAATTATTCCACTTTTGTACTGGCTTTTTATCTTTGCAGGGTTAGGAACATTGTCGGAAAATCTTCTGCTTTTAACCTCTTAACTCCCACCAGAAACCGAGCACGTTTTCTCCAGTGTTAAAAAAAAAAAACTTAGTAATTAGGCCAACACATTTAAAATAGTTGCTAGACTGTAGTAAACTGTTGTAAACTTCACAATCTGCACCAACCAAACTGAAGGAAAAAAATGCAACTTTATTCAGTAACGGAGTAATCTGATTCATATACTCCCCCCGCTAATAAAATTTGAGGTTTGGCCGGGGCCCGAACCCCGATCGTCCAAGCGAAAGTCTTGGACAATCCTGCTACACCACACAGGCGCTGGAGAAAACACTGGATCTAATAGGACAGACGGCTGAGTGAATGAGCCGTGCGGATGTGCGGGACGCTTAAAATGCCTTATATGCAAGTTAATGCAAATGTTTTCCATATGATCTGCTACTCCTGTGCATTTGCATTTTAGAATTCCTAATTAATGGTAGCTATATGTAACATGTGTAGTTTAAATTTTTGTAATTATACACAGCCTATATATTGCTAATCAAAGTAAAAGTATTCAGAATACAGTGTACACTCGTGTTTGTTTTGTTCCAATGTTTCACGTTGTTCATTGTTTGAATTTAAATAAATGAAGCCCAGGCTATTTGACACAATGTGTTCACCGCCTTTTTTTCCTTTTAAAGTCTAACATGCGATTCTCAGCCGACACTCATAGCCTACGTTACAGTAATTATGCTGTAGTTCGGCCGTCATAATAAGTGAGAGTAACGTTGCTGTAGTTCGGGTATCGATGGCTGCTTTTGGGCGGCACGGTGGCTGAGTGGATAGCACTCTTGCCTCTCATCAAGAAGGTCCTGGGTTCGAATCCCGGCCGGACCAGGGCCTTTCTGAGTGGAGTTTGCATGTTCTCCCCGTGTCTGCGTAGGTTTCCTCCGGGTACTCCGGTTTCCCCTACCACTAAAAATATGTACAAAAGGTCTGGCATGCGCCTCCTGTTCGGCGACCCCGCTCCCATCTCTGTGTGGAGTGAGAGGACAAGTGCCCAGAAATAACAATTGTAAACCGCTTTGTGACTCTGGTCTGTGAAAGGCGGTATATAAATAAAGCTTACCTACTTACTACTTACTTACTTATGTCAATGGCACAAATGAATAGATGCCAATGGAAGCCATCAGAGTCGCCAGCTCTGACCTAAAGGTCATTTGACCCAGCTCCAGGGCTTCTGGGGGGAGGGTGTGTGTGTAAAAATCCTACTACCCATCAGCCTCTCTGTCTCTCTGCACATCAGCTCGTAAACTTAAATGTATTTCTCAGACACACATCCAAACGTTTAGCGGCAGAGGAGGGGGCAGCCACAGACGCTTCTCCCCTCGCTCCTCTGATCAGAATGAGAGGAAAACTCCTGTTGAAAATCAAAGTCACCTGATGCGCACAGGCTCTTCTGTCTTTAGGACAGATAGATTTCAGATAGAAATTGCTACTAGAAAGGCGCTCTTAGACGCTGCTGTTGTAGCGAGGGCTGACGCAGCCTCATGCCGCTCCCGATCTCGGCGGAGTTTTTGAAGTGTACAGTAACTCTACCGAATACAATTACTCAAAATGAGTATTCTAACAATTTGAAAGTTATACCAGTTATACCACTTACTTTGAAATAGCATTCAGTAGCAACACTTTTAAACATAAAACACATTCTCACGATATTGCTAATACAAATTTATGATGGGGGGAAAACTTTCTTTCTCCGTGTTTTACAAATATAATGGAGTTGGCTGATGAATGTCTGCTTAGTTTGTGAACTGTATTGAACTAGATTGACCAGGGCTTGAGTCCACAGGAATGTCGAAAATCCAGTTCATCTTCACATATGCAAAACATCTTCACATAGCCTATCACTCAGGCGAGCAAAAACCGAGCACGTTTTCTCCAGTGTTAAATAAAAAATACTTAGTAATTAGGCCAACACATTTAAAATAGTTGCTAGACTGTAGTAAACTGTTGTAAACTTCACAATCTGCACCAACCAAACTGCAGGAAAAAAATGCAACTTTATTCAGTAACGGAGTAATCTGATTCATATACTCCCCCCGCTAATAAAAATTGAGGATTGGCCAGGGCTTGAACCCCGATCATCCAAGCGAAAGTCTTGGACAATCCTGCTACACCACACAGGCGCTGGAGAAAACACTGGATCTAATAGGACAGACGGCTGAGTAAATGAGCCGTGCGGATGTGCGGGACGCTTAAAATGCCTTATATGCAAGTTAATGCAAATGTTTTCCATATGATCTGCTACTCCTGTGCATTTTAGAATTCCTAATTAATGGTAGCTATATGTAACATGTGTAGTTTAAATTTTTGTATTGCTAATCAAAGTAAAAGTTTTCTGAATACAGTGTACACTCGTGTTTGTTTTGTTCCAATGTTTCATGTTCAATAACGCACTTGCTGCTGGCTATCCCATACTGTAGAAGAAGTCAGAAAGGAACTTTTGAGAAGAAGTGTTTTTATTAAAAAATAAGAAGTAAAAATAAGTAATAAAGTAAAATACAATTGTATTGTTACAGTACTTACAATACAGTGCAGTAAGTTAGTACAGTGTTTTACAGAGTCAATCCTTTGACTTTAAACCGCGTTTTGATAGGCCCTTTTGACAAGGAAAGAAGATAACAAGCTGATAACGTTACGTAATTGCTCACAAGCAACCAAAAGGTGTGCAACCAAAATTGCCTCAGACAAGAATCGAACCCACATCCCCCGGATCCTAACCTGCAACGCTAATCATTTGGCCAACATAGTATCACTAGGCAAATAACGTTTGCACGCAGACTTATACCTGAGCGTTTAAGTCGCTGGCAGAGCTAAAGCGGACTTAACCTGCCACCTTGTGGCGATAAGATGTAATATGTTTCACGCAGCTGCGTGATTCATGAAAAGCGTGAGTGAAGACAACAAACTGAAATGGGACCTACTGTAAACGGTTGCGCCCTAAAGCAAGACACTTCCCCCACATTGCCTAGAAGGAGTCTGGTGTGTGTCATACCCCTGGGTTATTGGACATTTTATTTTGAAATACTTACCTGTTCGCTATGCTTTAGATTTACATCACTCCCTGTTTCCTGCCTGTGATTTGTTTGCCCCGCCCTAATGTGTTGCACCTGTGTTTGATTACTCTGTATATCACCCCACCTGTTCCTTTGGTCTTTGCCAGATTGTCTTTGTTTCCCTCATGTTCTGAGCTCTGGAGTGCTACCTAAGTTTGCTACTTTGTTTTTGCCAAATAAAGGCTTGGAATTATTTTTCGTTCTCCTGGCGTCTCTGCTCCTGGGTTTTCGTGTCTTAGGGGGCCGTGTGTTACAGTACAATCTGGCCATGACTGACCCAGCGGAGACTGCAGCCGTTCGTTCTGCTATTCAGACCCAAGGAAAGAGACTTTCGAACCATGAGACGATGCTCACTGAATTAGCAGGGGGAATTCAAGATCTTCATGCCCGTCATGATTCATTCCAGGCCAGTGTTTTGCAGCAGCTCCAAGCCTTGACCGTTCAGAATCAACAACTCTTGGCTCAGGTGGGGGCTAGTGCTTCAGCCACCATTTCTCACTCGTCTGAGGCAGCTCGTGGACCAGCACCAGAGCCCGCCGCCCCTGCACTGGATCCAAGGTCTGAACCACGGGCTCCTTCCATAGAGAAGTACGACGGCAGCCCTGGGACCTGTAGGTCATTTTTGACGCTCTGCTCTTTGACGTTTGATCTCCAGCCCACGTCATTTGCCTCTGAGCGTTCCCGTGTGGCCTTCATTATCACAAATCTAACTGGAAGAGCACGTGAGTGGGCCACAGCTGAGTGGGAGAAACAATCCGAGGTATGCTTTACTGCGAGAGCATTTACGGACACCCTGAGAAAGGTTTTTGATTGTTCTACACCTGGTCGTGAGGCAGCTCGTGAGTTACTAGCTCTCAAACAAGGACCATCTCGGGTGTCGGATCATGCTATTCGGTTCTGCACCCTGGCTGCTGACAGTGAGTGGAACTCCTCATCTCTTTGCGACACTTTTCTGCATAGCCTCTCTGATGAGGTGAAGGATCACCTTGCTCCTATAGATCTCCCAGAGGACTTTGACTCCCTAGTGGCGCTTGCTGTTAAGATAGATAATCGACTACAAGAGAGAAGAAGAGAAAAGCTGCGGTGTAAGAGTTTTCTGGACATGGGCCGGCCCGTACTGCCTCTACATGCGGACCGGTTCTCTAGTCCGGGTCTCAAACATGATTTGCCATCTTCCTTTCCGGTGAGTGCTGATGAACCCATGCAGGTGGGCCGCACCCATCTAACACCCGAAGAACGCCAACGTCGTCAGCAAGAGGGACGGTGCTTTTACTGCGGTAAAGCCGGCCACGTCCTAGCCTCCTGTCCAGTAAAAGGTCGGGCCCATCAGTGAAAGGAGGATTGCTGGTGAGCCGAACTTCCTTTTCCTCTAAGTCCCGTTCAGTTACTCGCGTCCGGTTAACTACCACTGCCCTGTCCCTGGAACTTTCTGCCTTCATTGATTCTGGGGCTGATGGAAATTTCATGGACAAGAATCTAGCCCATCAGCTCCAACTCAAGCCTATTCTGCTGTCATCGCCGTTGGTAGCGCATGCTCTGGATGGCCGGCTGCTGTGCAGGGTACTCCACCAGACTCCTCCTCTGAGCCTCAACCTGTCAGGTAACCATTCTGAAACACTTCATTTTCACATTATTGATTCACCCCAGTTTCCGCTAATCCTTGGTTACCCATGGCTTGTCAAACATAATCCTCATATTGACTGGTCAACCGGCAGAATCGTGGGATGGGGCAATAACTGCCATGCCTCTTGTCTTTTGTCCGCCTCTTCCTCTGTTCTTTCCAACAGTGCTGCTGCATCGCCAGAGTACCCGGACCTCGCAAAGGTTCCTTCGGAGTATCTGGACCTTAAAGAAGCGTTCAATAAGGCCAGAGCCACTTCGCTTCCCCCCCATCGGCCATATGACTGCTCTATTGACCTCCTCCCTGGTTCGTCACCACCCAAGGGTCGCCTTTACTCATTGTCTCCTCTTGAGAGAGAGGCAATGGACCAGTACATCCAAGACTCGCTGGATGCGGGTATCATTCGGCCTTCCTCGTCTCCAGCTGGAGCGGGTTTCTTCTTCGTCGAGAAGAAGGACACTACACTGCGTCCGTGCATCGACTACCGTGGCCTGAACAACATAACCATCAAGAACAGGTATCCGCTCCCCTTAATTTCCTCCGCCTTTGAACTGCTACAAGGTGCCACTATTTTCACTAAATTGGATCTAAGGAACGCATATCACCTTGTACGCATAAGAGAGGGCGACGAATGGAAGACAGCCTTTAACACACCCAGCGGGCACTATGAGTATCTGGTCATGCCTTTCGGACTCACCAATGCCCCTGCAGTGTTTCAGTGCCTCGTGAATGACGTGCTTCGTGATATGCTTAACCACTTTGTGTTTGTTTATTTGGACGATATCCTTATTTTCTCTAAGTCCGAGGAGGAGCATGTTCGGCACGTCCGTCAAGTCTTGCAGCGGCTGCTGGAGAATCAACTATTCGTCAAAGCGGAGAAGTGCGACTTCCACCAGCAGAGCGTATCCTTCTTGGGGTTCATTGTTGATACTGGTGGTGTTAGGATGGATCCGTCTAAGGTCAGTGCAGTGACTAATTGGCCTGTCCCCTCTGATCGCAAACAGTTGCAACGTTTTTTGGGCTTCGCGAACTTTTATAGGCGATTCATACGGAACTACAGCTGTGTTGCTACACCGTTGCATGCCCTCACCTCTTCCACTCCTAAGTTCCAGTGGACTCAACAGGCTGACGACGCATTCAGGAACCTCAAGCAACGGTTTGCCACTGCTCCTATACTAACCTTGCCAGATCCTGAGCTGCAGTTTATTGTGGAGGTGGACGCGTCTAGTGTGGGAGTGGGAGCAGCTCTCTCCCAACGCAACCCCGAGGACAACAAGGTACATCCGTGTGCTTTTTTTTCAAAGAAGCTTTCCAGCGCAGAACAGAATTATGACTTCGGGAACCGAGAACTTCTTGCTGTTAAACTCTCCCTGGAAGAATGGCGGCATTGGCTCGAGGGCGCGGCACAGCCTTTTCTAGTCTGGACGGACCATAAGAATCTCGAATACATTAGGACCGCCAAGAGACTCAACTCGCGCCAGGCCAGGTGGGCTCTTTTCAATCGCTTCTCCTTCACGTTGTCCTATCGTCCAGGTTCCAGGAATGTCAAGCCTGATGCCCTGTCCCGTCAGTTTGAAGCTGCTTCTTCCGCCTCTGAGCCCACGACTATTCTGCCTTCTGCATGTGTCATCGGTGCCATCACCTGGGATGTGGAGAGAGAGGTTAAAAGAGCCCTGGAGGGCATCCAGACGCCAGCGGGCTGTCCCCGTAACCGACTTTTTGTCCCTGCTCCTCTTCGCTCTCGTGTCCTCCAATGGGCCCATAATTCTCCGTTTACCTGTCATCCAGGGGTGAGTCGCACTGCATTTGTTATTAAACAGAGGTTTTGGTGGCCCTCTCTGTTGCAGGACGTGAGGGAGTTTGTTGCAGCTTGCCCGACTTGTGCCCGGAGCAAGACGTCCAGACACCCAGTTTCTGGCCTCCTCCAGCCTCTTCCGATTCCCAAACGCCCTTGGTCTCACATCTCCTTGGACTTTGTTACTGGGTTACCTCCATCTGAAGGTAACACCACCATTCTGACAGTGGTTGACCGCTTTTCGAAGATGGCACACTTTGTCCCACTGCCCAAACTCCCCTCTGCCAAGGAAACTGCAGAGCTTCTGTTGTCCAATGTTTTTCGTCTGCATGGTCTGCCACAGGACATTGTCAGTGACCGGGGCCCTCAGTTCACATCCAGCTTCTGGAAGGAGTTCTGCAGACTTATTGGTGCGTCTGTTAGCCTGTCGTCCGGCTATCATCCACAGTCTAATGGTCAGACTGAGCGGTACAACCAGGAACTGGAAACTGGATTAAGGTGTTTGGTGTCTCAAAGCCCTTCTCAGTGGTGCAATAAGCTGGTGTGGATTGAATACGCACACAATTCTCTCCCTGTTTCGTCTACTGGCATGTCCCCATTTCACTGTGTCAATGGTTATCAACCTCCTATGTTTGCAGACCTTGAGGACGAGGTGACTGTCCCTTCTGCTCACGCTCTGGTCCGTCGGTGCCACGTCACTTGGAGGAAGGCCCGTGCCGCCCTTGTTCAAGCCTCTGCCCGTTACAAGAAAGCGGCTGACCGGCATCGCACACCCGCCCCTTGTTACAGGGTGGGTCAGAAGGTTTGGCTCTCTACGAGGGATCTCCCCTTGAGAGTTGAAAGTCGCAAGTTGGCCCCCAGGTTTGTGGGTCCCTTCCCCATTTCCAAGGTCATCAGTCCTGTCGCTGTCCGGCTCCAGCTCCCACGTACCATGAAAGTCCATCCTACATTCCACGTCTCTAAGATAAAGCCCGCCATATCCAGCCCGTTGGTTCCCCCCTCCAGGCCCCCGCCGCCCCCCAGTGTCGTGGATGGTGCCCCTGCTTTCTCTGTGAGACGTCTCCTGGCTGTCCGCCGCAGGGGTCGGGGCCGGCAATATCTCGTCGATTGGGAAGGATACGGTCCTGAGGAGAGGTCGTGGGTGCCCGCCCGGGACATTCTGGATCCTGAGCTTGTCCGGGAGTTTCGTGCTCGCTCTGGGACTTCTGGTGCCGTCCCTTAGGTGGGGGGTGGTGTCATACCCCTGGGTTATTGGACATTTTATTTTGAAATACTTACCTGTTCGCTATGCTTTAGATTTACATCACTCCCTGTTTCCTGCCTGTGATTTGTTTGCCCCGCCCTAATGTGTTGCACCTGTGTTTGATTACTCTGTATATCACCCCACCTGTTCCTTTGGTCTTTGCCAGATTGTCTTTGTTTCCCTCATGTTCTGAGCTCTGGAGTGCTACCTAAGTTTGCTACTTTGTTTTTGCCAAATAAAGGCTTGGAATTATTTTTCGTTCTCCTGGCGTCTCTGCTCCTGGGTTTTCGTGTCTTAGGGGGCCGTGTGTTACAGTGTGTGTGTGAATGGTTGGTGGTGGTCAGAGGTACATGGACTGGTTGCCTCCCTTCTGTCATTGTGTCCCAGGGCAGCTGTGGCTACACTGATAGTTTATTTCCACCTTGTATGGAGTGAAAGAATAATGACATGTGAAGCGCCTTTGAGTGTCCAAAAAGCCCTTCATAAAATCAATGCATTATTATTATTATTGTTTGTTTCACGTTCATCCAACCCACTCCCACACAATAACCGCAGCACATATTAAATCTAATCTAAGTATACGCTCTTATCTGAATGACCCTTCGTTCATGAATCCTAAATGTCATCTCAAACGGCTACACAAGTGTCCTTCAGCCGATCACGTCTTTGGTAGTTAAAAACTCATAAGGCCTAGGGTAAAAGTTGTAAAATTATAATGTAATTATTGGTTTATGGCAGCCCTCTAAATCATAGACTTTTAATGGAGGAGCTGCAACATTAATTCCCTCATAAGAAGTGAGCATCAATTATTGTCTACTCGGAAATAATAGCCATCTAATAAAGGCTCTGCCCTCAAACCAAACGCACACTTTTATTCAAGGCTGATCAATCTTGAGAAACATGCAGCATTTGTAAAGCTGAGATATTTCACCCACATGTTCTTTAATGGGTTAGAATACACCCAGCCTGGTCTTACCACACCATCGTACTCATTTCATTTCGCACACAGGTCTGGATTTGCCCCATTGAGCTCTGTT